AGAGAGAGAGAGAGAGAGAGAGAGAGAGAGAGAGAGAGAGAGAGAGAGAGAGAGAGAGAGAGAGAATACCAATTTGTGGGAGAACCCTTCCCCTTTTTGGGCTCTCTCCTGAAAAAAGGTTTTTTTCGAAAATAAAAAAGGAGGGGACCCAGAAAAAATGTGTCTGTTTGTAGGCATTGCATTAAAAACGTAAGTGAGTTTTTTGTTGTCTTTCTCATTTCCTCTCTCTCTCTCTTTATCCTCATCATCATCTCATCATCATCATCGTTTTTTTGTCCCATCTCTCTTAGTGGGGACCCTCTTTGTCGCGCAGCACAGAAGCAGAAAAGTGGGCGGAGCTTAGTCCTTCTGAAGCGACAACGACGAAGAGACTCACCAACACAACCTTCCCAACACATTTTCTTCTGAATTTCCCCCTTCTATATTTTTTGTTACTATAATAATGCTATCCTCATCGTTTTTTCGTGGAAGTATGAAGGAGCGAAAAAATGAGGCGTTAAAGAACCATAAAAGCAAATACATATCGGGAAGCTATCTAGAGACTGGTACGTCTTTTTTGGGGGATCAAAAATGTCGAAAATGGATTAAACAGGGTCGATTTAGTCTGGAACCTTTATTTCTAGATTTCGAAATTTGTCAGTCTAGATTTCGGGATTTGCCAGGAAAAGTCAAGTAATCTTAAGACAGGAACTTTGAGCTCAATTATCTCAATTTCTGTAAGAGATATTCAAAAATCTGCAAGATACAGAAATGTTGGTGATATTATGATAAACAATTTATCAGTTGACTTTGAAATCTTTTACAGAAATCGAGATAATTGAGCTCAAAGTGCAAGTAAAGAGGTATATCCCCATTTTTTACGGAATTTTGATTTTGAAGCTGTCAGAGATAAAACTGAGTTACAATGGATGGATTTCCTCTTTTCGAATTTTCTAAAGCTCAGAGAATTGAAGTCTTTTTGATTCTTGGAAAAATCTGAATCTTACTCTCCGAAAGCCCAGAACTTGGGAAACTTGTGAAATTGTTGGATTTCCTGCAGTTTCTACCCATCTTTCTTATATATTAAGCGCTAGAGGCGTCTGTAGGTCCCCGTGTCAGGCTGTCCGGTTTTGAAAAGCTTGAAAAATAAGTATCGATTACGTTACCCTTTAAGAAAACGTGAGAAGCAAAGCGACCAAACAATATAAACATTAGGTTAAGTCGCGCCGAAGGCGCACCAGCCAGCTGACTGAAGCGCCGGAGGTACGGCAAACATACGGCTGATTAGTTCATTTTCTCTTAAATATTTTTAAAATGCATCTTTCCCCAAATAATATAGGAATGCTTATCCTTTTTTGGAAACTCTCAATTTGCCAGGTACAGTTCCAAAATCTGAAATTTTGCTTTTCGGAAAGTTTCTTGAGACCCAAAACAAGCTATAGACTCAGTCAATACATTTGTGAACATTACCCCAACTCACAGAATGGGACAAAAAAATGAACCAGTTGGAGTTGTAAACACAACCACACTCACACCCTGTGAGACAATTTCCGTTCTTCTTCTTCTCACAGATCTTTTTCTCTCTAAAATTGAAAAAAATAAACAGACACCTCTTCTTTTCGCTTTTCCTATAGTTTTGGACACATAAACAGAAGAAGACACATACTTTTTGACATTTCAGTTTAATTAGAATTGAGTGCGCGGGAAAAAGCATAGTGACGAAAATATGGGGGTCCTCCTCTCCCCCAAAAAGACACCCCCAGGGGACAAATTTTCCAGCGAATGATGATGATGGTGATGATGAGCCAATATATAAGATTTGAGGCAAAGATTTAGCACTCTTCAAGTGCTCCCTCTAGGTTCTAGAACCTCTAGACTAAGAAACAAAAACGGAGCAAAAAAAAGAGCATGGCCAAGGGTAGACATTGAACCAGGGATCCCTTGCGGGCCCTGCCACAGTTACTCTATCACTATTTTTAGACCAACTACATTCGATATAATAGAACTCAGTGAGTACTACAAAATGATACACTTTGGAATACTGTACCTTGTCTATGAACAAAGTTCCAAAGCCATAAAATTGTGTCCGCGTAGCTCAAAGGGTTTTGGCTTGTAACTTTATTCATAGACAAGATACAGTATTCCAAATAGTATCATTTTGTAGTACTCGTCAAGCTCTATCGAATTCAATATGATTGTTCCGTTTCCCAAAGAAAGCCAACGAGTAGCACAGCTCAGCTGGTTGGAGATGGCTGCCTAGGGTATACAGGTCCATTACATCTTTGTCGAGTCCTGTTTTTTTCAAACCCGGAACCTAACCCCATCCTAGGAACAGCTGATTTTGAGTCCCCGCCTTCCCGTGGTGTTTTGACAGATTTCTATATCAAAAACGACCCTACCAATGTCCCACCATTCATTATCCTTCTCCTCAATTCCCAAAATCCTTTCCAAAATGATATTCGTCGCATCTCGTCGTAGTCTTAGTACAAGCCCGATGCCTCCACCATTGCCACGTCATCAGCCCCCATCAGTTGTAGTACCAAAGTTCTCATCAACTACTCGTCGTGTGCCAGCATGGTGCAACATGACAAGCGATGAGCGACAGGAGCACAAAAAGCAACTTGAGGAATTGCGGCTCCGTGAGCACATGAAAGACGAAGAGCGGCGACAAAGACGACAGGATCCCGGGAAGCAGCTGTTGCTCACCTCCTCCTGCGGTCCTTTCTCTTCGCATGCACCCGCACCGCGAGTCATCGTTTTTGAATGCGAAGGAGAAGAGAAAAAGAGCATTCAGCAACTGATCGGTGGTGGCTCTCATCATCACAATAATTTGCTTGTCCTAAATCAAATGCCCACTCGACTTGACATTGTTGGAAATTTGAAGTTCTCCAGCTCCACTGACGATGGAGCAATGGAGGAGGAGAGCGGTGACGTTACCGCGTGTTTCGTTCTTCCCTCACCATCTAGTTTCTCGAAATTAACCATTTTGGACACAGAACAAGATGAGGAGGAGTGTGAGTTTTTAGTTTAGATGTATTTGACTGAAACGGGAGGGTTAGAAGTTTGTTTCCCTTATAACTTTCTTAAGGACTGATCCTTTCTGCTTGAAGTTTGAATAGTTCAACTTGGCTTTTTATAACCTTCCTATTGATATCAAATGTTATTATTCAAGCGTACCGGACTGGGCTGGAAATTTTCCTAAGCTTCGGCATTATCTTATTTCCTCTATAACTTTTGCAAAATTTCAAACTTTGCTTCTTGAGAGCTTCTCGTTTAGGACTATTCCATAACTCTAGTATTCTCTTCATATCTTCCTTCAAATTCACCCACTCGTTTTGAAATGTGAATATTTAGATTTGTCCAGTAAAGAGCTACAACCGGCTACCAAAATCGTCTAGTTTTCTTCATTTCATCTTCCATTGAGTGTCTTTCAAATTCTAAACCACGACTTTAACAATTCTCTTAAGAGTTGGCCTTAATTTTATTTGATTCTCCCTTTGGATTTCTTCTCAAAATCGACATTTCAAATTTAGAATAATTTTACTGAATTTCTATGGATCAAAGCTTCAATTTAAAATCCATTTTGCCTCCCTTGTAAATTCTAAAAACTTCAGAATTTCAAAAATCAATTTATCCCAGAAAATAGGACTGTTTATTCTTTTGGGAACCGTTGAAACCTTGTGATTTCACTAATTATAATTGGAAAAAGTGCGTATTGTTGTGCTCGAGGGCTCCTTTGATTAATTGTTGTCATGCTCTCTGTCTGTCTCTCTCTCTCTCTCTCTCTCTCTCTCTCTCTCTCTCTCTCTTTTCTGATCTCTTTTGATTTTTTGATATTGGGGGAACAAAAACGAACAAAAACGCAAATTTCAGTTTCAACAAAGTTCTGTGTTTTTATGGTTTTTTTAACACATTTCGGAAATAAAATTTCAAAAAAAAAAAGAAATCAAAGAAGAAAAACATGTGTCACTAACATCTGGTATCTAGAAAAAAATCGCAAAAGCATTGGATCAAAGTTTATGGAAGTTTGAAAAATCTAATTTTTGACCTGAAGGGGTAACCGGATACGTTTTTTTGAGAGAAAAAATGTCTAGTTTTTGATTTGAAACGAAAAGATGAGAGTTCAGTGACAAGAGGTACCAGGATTTTACTGGGAAAAGAGTTGCATGTTTTTTTTTTGTGAAAGTTGAAATTCAAATTCGGAGTTTAGAGATCAAACTTTTGGTTTCGAAACTTTATGGTTAATTTGGAGCTAAAACTTATGAAATTATTGGGATTTTTTGAGAAAAATAAAGATTCGAAAAGTTGAAAAAGGTATAAGAAGACCAACATTACCGTAAACACTCTAATAGAACGGCACCCGAATCGTCCAATTCGAGCCCATGTATCTCATTTCCTGTGAGAGATATCAAAAGAAGTGAGATATATAGACTCAAATTGGACGGTCCGGGTGGCGTTCTATTAGAGTGTTTACGGCAGACTCTTAGAATTTGAAGGAGTTTTCAAAATTTTATCAAATTTTCCAAAAACTGAAATTTTCGAAAGCTATCGGAATCTTGGAGTTCCAAGGTTGAATTTCAACTCTCTTTGAATTCAAATGTTTTATTTTCATTCAGGGATACTGTATTTTCTCATAGCCCTCTCAAACCAAATAGAAGCCAAAAATAGGAGCCCACTCAAACCGTCAACTTTGAGCTCAATTATCTCGATTCCTGTGAGAGATATCAAAAACTTGTAAACTGATAAAGTATTGGTGATGTATTGATTAACAATTTATTAGTTGGCACATTTCTGATACCTCTTAAAGGAATTGAGATAATTGAGCTCAAAGTTGACTCTTCCACAATTCTTATTTCAAAAAGGTTTGCATTTTTTCGAACTCAAAACCTAAAAAGCATCATCACGTGAACACCCTTCTCTCTCTCTCTCTCTCTCTCTCTCTCTCTCTCTCTCTCTCTCCAGGGACGTTTTCTTGTAAATGGGCGTCGAGAGGTGCCATATGTGTGAGTCTGTGGTAGGGATAAAGATAAACAAAAAAAGTGGAGCCTTCTGGAACAAAAAAGAAGGACCAAAAAGAGCCGGGAGGAAAAGTTGGAACAAGGGAAAAAATTGGAAGAAAAAAGAACATCTTCTTCTTTGTCTTCTTCACAACTATTCCCACATAGCCTTCCTCTCTCTCCCTTCCCTTCCCTTGTATTCCTCATCACTAATTGCCAAGAATTTAAATTTCGTGCCTTTTCGACACTTCCTGACGACTTAAAATTCTGGTGGCAACATATTCTAATATTATTGAATGCTACAGTTTACATTTTTTCAATCCGCTTTTCGAGAATCTGTACATCTTCAATTGTGTGGGTTTTTCAAATTTCATAAACGAAACATTTCTAAAATCTTAAAATTTCTGAAAAAATGCGAGAAGCTTGGAAAAAATTTGAAACTAGAACGAAATTTCTGAAAACCGTATGACCTGAAGATTTGATGAACATTTTATTAGTTGACAACTTTTTGATATCTTCCGAAAGAAGTGAGATATTTTGGCTTAAAGTGGTCCGGGTGGCGTTCTATTAGTGCTTACGGTATCTAAAATACTTATTCTCTGGATTTGATGATTGCTTTCTTTTGATGCTCGTATTTCCTTGAAAACTTGAAATTAAAAAAAATGAATTTTTTTGTTGAAAAATTGAGTTCCCGAAAGTTTTAAATATCTGAAAAATCTGAAATTTTCAAATCCTGTTGAAAAATCAAAAAATCGAAAAAAAAACAATTTTGAATTCTTTTTAAAAAAAGAAGGAATATTTCTTTCGCTTTAGTGTACGCTGATGATAATTCATCCGAGTACTTTATTTTTATAATTCAAATAACTTTTTTAATTCAGAATTCAGAATTTTTTAGATATTTTTGTAATTGCCCTAAATTTCTCCCCTTCCAACGTTGTTCCTTGTCGTGTTTAGACTTTTTTGAAACCTGAAAACTTGCAGAATCTGAAAATCTAAAATTCCAACTCTCAAAACCCCAAAGAACCCTTTTACGACCCATTTTGAGATCCGGTGTCCGCCAATGACCTGCCCATCATCCGGCCGGATGTTTTAATTTCCGGGCTGCTTATCAATAGAGCGAATTTTCTTCCCATCTCATTTATTCTCTTTTTTTGAGCTTTCAGAATCACCTTCTGACATTATTTTTTATATTTTTATTATTTTCAAGTCAAAAGTTGAAAATTCCACCGAAAATAAGAAATAAGCCCTGAGAAGAGGGAAAAAAAATTGACAACAAGTTTTTCGGCTTTTTCTCACTTTTTTCTTCTTCTTCTTCTTCTTCTTCTCACATCGTCGTCGTTTTTTTTTCGGGACCGTGAGCAACACAACTTCCTTGGGAAAGCATGAAGAAGAAGAAGACGTTGTTGGTCAAAACGAAATAGTGCAGTTGATTGAGAGACACGAGAGATCGAGGCAGAGAGGCCTCTCTAAAAATGTCTCTTTTTCTTGAGCATTTTCCAGCTCTTTTCTCTGCGTCTCTTTAGATATCCCCCTCTCTCTCTTCTACTTCTTCTTCTTCTTCTTCTTCACCGTTTTCTTCTTCTTCTCCTTCTTCTGACATCGTCGGTTGTATACAAGGGGTGGGAAGTGAGAGGAGAGCCTTCTTTTCTCTCTATGCTCTCATATATGTGTGCCTGAGCCCCCGTCCTCGTCCCCTCCAACTCTGTCGTGTTTTTGGAGAAGAAGAAGGGGCAGAAGAAGGAGGCCCCTTTTGCCACGTCATCCCTCACCAATTATTCCTTTCTCCTAATCATCATCGCCGTCCCATATTATGACGTCGAGTAGCAACAAAAAAGCGCAAGTCAAATTTTGTACGTTTTTCCGGTTATCTGGATTCTCGTGGTACCGTAACTTTTTCATTCTCCACACAGAAAGTTTGCAATTTGTTTTTTTTTTCTAAATTTGACTAGCTGAGAGCTCTCATTTGATACCCACATTGGCCTGAATTAGACATTTTTGGGTTTTTAGTCATTTTGAGGATCAACGTTTTTTTCTGAAATTGTTGAACTGGGCGAAATCCAAAGTTGTCTAAATCTAGTCTTGTTTATGCTCCTTTTCATAACTTTTTGAGTTCTAAAAATTACGATTCAAGAAGCTAAAAATGACTTTCGAAGGGATCTCTTGGACGTGGTATAGACATTTTATGGCAAATGAACCAAACTTCCTTTTTTCCAATTCTAGTTTTGTTTATACTCATTTCAAAGCTCTAAACCTGAAAATCTAGGTCTGAAAACTTAAAAATGGCCTCTATGACAACTCCATTAGACTTTCTAACAGCGATGTTGGGACCAGTGCCAACCGGGTCATGTTTATACTCATTTTGAAGCACTAAAACTGAAAAATCTAAAAACTTAAGTCTGAAAATTTATAATTCACAATTTAGACATATGTGCCGCTCCTAAAGTTTCAAACCTAAAAATCTACCGTAAACACTCAAATAGAACGCCATGTATCTGATTTTCTATAAGAGATATAAAAAAGTGGTTAACTAAGAAAATGTTGCTAATATCATGATAAACATTTTATCAGTTAGCAACTTTTTGAAATCTTTCAAAAGAAGTGAGATATATAGGCTCAAAGTGGACGGTCCGAATGGCGTTCTATTAGGGTGTTCACGGTAGATTTTTTAACACTCACTATCAGACTACCAATAGAAAACTAAAAATCGTATCGTGAGCCAAAATTTCTTTTTTTTTTTTGAAAAAAAACAAATGCGCGTATTTTGAGGTTTGTTTTGTGACATCCAATTAGTATAAGCAGAAGAAGGGGCTCTCTCTTGAGAATACGACCCCTCATACACACTAATTGCACAGAGGAATCTAGAAATAGGTCCCAAATCTGAAAATCTGTAATCTGAAAATAATAAAATTATTAATCTATTTTTTTTCAGTCAAAGAGTTCCTGGACAAAGCACGAGAGGACTTCAAACAACGATGGGAGAATCCGGCTCAGGTACGCTCTTCTTTTTTTTCATTCCTGAAATGTCAATTGCACACGGATGCTGTTTGGAGATGAAGAAGAATCTAGAATCTACTATACTGAATATTTAACCATGAAGAAGACAATTTGCATATATATCTATGTGTGTATTCTTTCGAGAAGAGCTTCTTTTGCTCTTCATGGAAGTCAAGAACTCTGAAAATCATTTGAAATAAGAAAAAAATGAGCAGACTGTTTGAATTAGTCGCAACAAGAGCTTTGATTTGATATCCATATTGATAGGGTTTATGGGGATTTTCATTTTTGGTCAACCATTTTTGGTGTAAATGTTCGAAATTCAAAGTTAGCTAAATCTAGTCATGTTTAGGCTCCTTTTAAAGCTGAAAATCTAGTAAACTTTCTTTTTGGACTTACTGAAAGGTCTGTATAAGCCAAAACGGGCCAAACATGGCCCAAAAGAATCCCTTAAATCCAATTACTTCAAACTTAGACATGGTTATACTCATTTTGAAACTGAAAACCTCAGAAATCTGAAAAATTAAATTTTTTGAACTTCAGTCTATTCATAAGCCGGTTACAGGCTGGACTTCCTCAAACCTAGTCGTGTTTATACTCATTTTAAAGAGGCAGACCTCCTGAACTTGAATGTTATCTTTACCTGTATCCAGATATTCTGAATCCATTTTTAGATTTCTAAACTACCCGAAACCCCAGAGCACTCCCCGAAAAAAACATTTAAAAATTTATACTTTCTCTCTCTCTCTCTCCATTTCTCGTTTCCTCTCGTTTTCCTATCCCCAGACCAAGTTATAGTGATGAATTGAGCCCTCCCTCTGAGCTTTTTGAGGGGACCTCTTGGCTTGACGGGGGAGAAAATAAAATCTATTTTTAGCCAACCCCCCGCCCCTCCTCTCCACGGAGAAAAAAAAGAGACTTGTTGTATTTTGCATTTTTGAGGCACAACAAAATGAAGAAGAAGAAGGATTGGAAAGCATTGGAGAAGAGAAAAAATCCAAATAACGTTTAAGGGATAGAAAGAATGGCTTTAAAATAGGAGAAGCTGAAGCCTTTCATTATGAGATCTTGAAGAAATGTGTTTGGTCACAAGATTAGAACTGCTTTGGGGTGAAGGGCGTACAAGGGTTTTGAATGGCAAATTTCTGAAATTTTGAAATATCTGGAAATCCCATTGATTGGGCAATTTCGAAGACAACTATGAGGTGCTTTGTGGTGTGACAATTGAATTCCACTCCTTTGTTACATTTGAGCTGGCTACGGTTCTTTGAAAAAAGTAAAACTTTGAGATTTACATTTTTCTGAACCCTTAAAACACCTTAATTTTGGAAATTTAAATTTCAACGCAATCGGACAGATTTGAAAGAACTTATGAGCCGATTTCCGTTTCCGCCTAGATTTTTAACGATAAAAAGTTTTTCAAATGTCTAATTGGGAAATCCATTACTATCCCTCAATGGTTTTACTCCATTCTTTGAAAAATGTTACTGTACCTCCTGAACCTGCATATCAAACTTTTGAAGCCATCTAAAACTTTTGGAGAAGAAGAAGCACACACAGGAGCTCACAAAACCCAATTTAAATTTGAGAAGATTTTTTCGAGAGTCCTCTTCTTCGTCTTTTTTTCCCGAAGAAAAGAAATGACACCTCTTCTACCCCTTCTTCTTCACACCCACGTCTTCTTCCTCTTCTTTCGACCCGACGACGACGTCTTCTGATTCTGAAGAGTCGACGACATCGGAAATCAAATTCAGTGGAGAAAAAAAAGAAGAGAGAGAGAGTTTCGATACTTTCCTTTCTCTCCCTCCTCCCCCCGTTTGAATTCGAGGGGACCCTTATTAGGGTGCGATGCGGTCGCGTCGCGGCGGGATCACTGAAAAATTGGAAATCTTGGAAAGATAGGCTTGTTTGTACTTTTTTGAATCCTCCGAACTTGAGAAATCTGATAATTACAGTTTGAGAAAAATTGGAGCAAAACCTAGGGATTTATGGTCTAAACTGTTTCTGAGGAGGTCCAATCAACTTTAAAGAATCGCAAGAAAGTCTGGAATTCTTATAATCTGGACGTGTTTAGACTTTATTGAATCCTCAAAACTTGGGTAGTCTGAAAATTAACATTTCAAATGGAATGGACAATTGTGAAGGAAGATATGAGCATGTGATGTTTGGAAGCTGGTTTTTTCACCAACTCAAGAACTCAAAAGAAGTTCAATGAAAGATAATTAAATTGGAAATTGAAAAATTAGTGGTAATCACTTTTTCAAAATGTTATGGGAAAATTTCGAAACGGAAGCTTCTAGAAAGCTCATTTTTCCTCTGAAACTTCAATCTGAAAATGCAAGCTACTGATATTCCGATGGAAATCGATTATAGCGATTTTGGAGAGGTACGTCAATTAGCAGGTTTCAACTTTCTGAAATATTAAACTTTTTGCGAATCTGGAAATCAAAATTTCGAAAAAAACAAACAATTTGAAAGGAGTTATGGGCAATTCAAAATTTCTATTTTCCGACGACTCCCCTATTGGCTTTTTTTTTATTTTAATTTTAATTTTTTTATTGATCAGGTGTAATAAAACATTAGAGGGCAGGACATGAAAGACTCAGAAAAAATGCCCCTCACGAGGCCGATCATGATTCTATAAAAAGTTCTCATCCTATAAACCCTTGAGAGGAATTTCAATAAATTCCTGAAGATCTATTTTTGTAATGATCTGAATCCCATCGTTATCATTAGAATCCAGTTTTCTCATGAAGAAAATTCTCAAGGAACGATTGGAATGTGTTCCCCAATCGTAATCGGATCATTAAATTTGGGATCTTAATTACCCTAATTAATTCATTAATGCAAAAGAAGATTTTCTAATTTGGGACTTTCCAAATGTATGACGTTTTTGGCTTTGAAGTTGTTTCATTCACTGCTCGTGCGACAGCCGTTTCCTCTTCTTCTTTCACCTTGGTTCACCAAACAGGGTCATCTGACGTAGTGGTGAAGGCATATGTCTTTGGTGCGAGAGGTTTTTCGTTCGATACCGTTCGGTGCTAATCTCTTTTTGCTTTCTTGCTAGAGACATCTCGACCAACTACTACTTCTTCTAAGCCTATATTTATAGTCAGAAGAGAAAAACAATGCTATTTTAGTTCTTTTTTCTGGGTGTACGTGACAATTTGCATTATATATTTATGCTTTCGATATATACTAGATCCCTCCTCTTCAATATTATAAAAGAAGTTCATTCGTCTGAAAATTAGAGAGAGAAAACAGCGAAAACAACACATTTTCGGGGATCAATGATCACACTTCAGCTTCTTCTTTTCTTCTTACTTTATGAATCTCAAGAAGAAGAAAAACACCTGCGGGGCACACTTCCGCGTTTTGAAATGCTCAATTATATCGAATCCTATAAGAGATGTCAAAAATTTGTCAACAGCAAAAATTTTTATCACAATACCCCCAACATTTTATCAGTTAACTTTTTTAGTATGGTTTCTAGCAACCAAGATAATTGAGCTCAAAGTAAAAGTACCGTAAACACTCTAATAGAAGGCCACCCAAACCGTCCACTTTGAGCCCATTTATCTCGGTTCCTGTGAAAGATATCAAAAAGTGTTTAACTGACAAAATGTTTATCAATCATAGTATCACCAATATTTTATCAATTGACCAGTTTTTGATATCTCTCACAGGAACTGAGATATACGGGCTCAAAGTTGGTGGGTTGAGCAGCCTTCTGTTAGAGTGTTTAAGATATTAAAAAATCTAGAATTGTTTGTTTTTTTTTCAAAAATTTTCCCTTCAACTAAACAGTATGTAAACCATATTTTTAGCTCAATTCTAACCAAAGTTAAGAACTGTTTTGGAGAAAAACCCTTTTTTAGAAAATTAATTTTAGATTTCTCTCCCTCCCCAAGAAAGATAATCCGCTTTTCTAAATCCTATAATCCTTGATACCCAAATCCCTTGAGATATTGTTCGTTGTTTCTTTCCGATTTCCAAAAATAGAAAAGAGAAGAAGACCTTCAAAACATTTTTTGTGTCTAGACAATAATTCTTTGGAGCTGAAAATAATTTTTTTTGCATTCTGATTTTTCGAACTTTAGGGAGTTGGAAAAATGAGCTGCCCACTTTGAACTCGAATATCTCGGTTACTGTAAAACATATCAGAAAGTGGTCAACTGATAGAATGTTGCTGATATTATGATAAAAATTTTATCAGTTGATTATTATTTGATATCTTTTACAGGAACCGAGATATATAGGTTCAAAGTATAAGTATAGAGTGGTCTTCTGTTAGAGTTTACGTAAAGAGTATAGCTGGGAAAACTTTCAAAACTTTCCGATCTTTTGCTTTTTTCTGTTTTTTTATAAATAGAATTTCTTCATTATAGTTATAATGATCCCAATAACCAATTTCCCATCAGGCATTTTTCTTAATTAATGCCTTAATTACTTCTCTATATAGGTCAAGCTGGCTCCGCCCATTTCTAATCATCTTTCTTTTTTTGCTGCAGAATAAAATTATCCATTCTATTTTTATTTCCTCATCCCCATCCCATTTCCCATTTCCTTCGTAATTAAAGTTTTTTTGGGTCCGTATGTGTTTGCGCCTGACTTTCGATTGCTCATCTCTTGATATTTTTATGTGTTTTTTCGAGTTATTTTTAGAAGAAAAAGCGAAGAAGAAGAAGAATTTTTTCTTCGTTTCATCCTCTTAACTTCTGCTTCTTCTGCTTCTAATCATCATCCGGAAAAGACTCATAACATGTTTTTTTCTTATTCTTAAAATAGAGAAGTTAGGTGTCAAACACGGCCTGCTGAAAACGAAAAAACTGCGAATTTCATTTACGTCTTCGTATATAAATATATTTATTCCTAGCTCCAAGTTTCTAATTATGGCCACGCCCCCATGTGTTATAGGTTTCTAGGAAAAGTTTTAGTTGATTTTATTCTTTGTGGCACTCTTGACGCTACCGTAAACCCTCTGTTAGAAGCTAACCCTATACGTTCACTTTGAGCTCAATTATCTCGATTTCTGTAAAAGATATCAAAAAGGTGTAAACTTATAAATTGTTTATCACAATATCACCTACATTTTATCAACAAATTTTTGATGTCTCTTATAGGTAACATGCTAACATGCTCTCTGAAAGACATGTAACATGCTCTCTGAAAGACATGTAACATGCTCTCTGAAAGACATTATCATAGCTTCTAGGCAATATATCAGAAAATTGTTAACTAGCAAAGTATTTATAATTAAATTTCCCACATTCTTCTAGTTTACACTTTTAGCTTTCCTCCCAGATACCTGTGGCTCAAGGCGCCAAACCCCATTATCCCATCTCGAATCTTAAAATATAAGTCCCCCCCCCCCCAACCACCTGCTCCAAACGTTTTTTCGAGTTTAAAACCACTCTGCTCCCGAAACTTAGTGTGTGTTCATTTTCTCTGCATTCTCTTTTCTCTATCTATGATCCCCGCCGGGCGGGTAGGTCGAGAGAGAACGAGAGGAGAGGCAAGACGCGCTTTTATTTGGTTGCTTGGCTATTTTTAGATCCAGTTGGGGTGGTCTTTCTCTTTTTCTCTTCCCCTCTCGACAGTATTTTCTCTCTATCACTTCCGATCCCGTTTTTTGGGGTTGGAAAAGAAACCGCTCTCTCTCTCTCTTCTTTTCTCGTTTTTCCAAGTCTCTCTCTATCCCTCTCTCACTCTCTATAGCCCTGTACCGTATTTCTCTAGTGACGTCATCAAGATGAACACGTGCCCTGAAGATGTAGACAAAAAAGAAGAAGATGTTCTGAAGAAACAATTGGACGACGAGGACGACGATGAACTGTGGAGGCGGCGACTCTCTGAAGCAATTCGTCGGGAGGATCGTGGCGACTTCGTTGTCGCCGACGACGACGACGATGACTTCGTTCTCCACCCACTATGTCGTGCGGGTCCGCTTCAGATGACTGTCAAGTCGTCAACCAATACCTCCCCAACGAACACAACATCCTCTTCGGCTTTTCAGTCAGCACCATCCACGGATACAGAAGAAGAAGAAGAAGAAGAGGACGATGAGGAGGAGTCAACAACCTCAGGCGGTTTTCCATTAGGATTCCCTTTGACACCCATCACTGCACACAACATCACATCCTCTATCACCACGGGACTAGTCAAGAAGCGTCGAAGCTCGTCGTCTCCAGAGGATATTTGTCGTGAAAAGATTCCACATCTCCTCCTTAAAACGTCTTCTGGGGTGGTGGTGCCGCTTCGATCGCAACGACGCATCCTTCAAGCACCACCACCATCCTCGGCGGTTCGTACTGCACCACCGCCCGGCTTTCCGGCCTATTCGGTGAGCTCTCTGCAACAGAAGGATGGAGATGATTCGCCGATGGCCGACCTAGATGACAACTATCTTAGAAGACCAACAACTTCAGCCAGTGCTCCAACGAGTCCTATTGATCATAGAGTTCGTCGAGGTGCCTCGGAGACTGGAGACCTCAATTTCGCTGCCGAGATTTTCTGGTTGAAGACACAGCTGTCCGATCATTGGTCCATGAAATGGCTGTTTCAGGTAAAAAAGGGTCACTCATTAAACCAAGTCCATTGTGGCTCTTTAAGATGACTTTGTCCCTTTAAACTCCAAATTATGGAAATCTTTCAAAGTTCCATATTATAGTATTTCCTAGATTTTATTTTTCTATATTTGACAAAACTCTTTAAATTAGGTCAGGCCTTAATACCAATCTTGGTTCTAAGTATGCGCCTTTAAGGGATCAGGACTCTCTAGATTTTAAGCCAAACAAAACCTTTTTCTTCTTCTTCTTTATTTCTTTATTTTTAGACTCTTATCCTTCTCTTTTGTTGTTGTTGGCCAAAGAGTCCCCTCCAATCTCTAGCATGAGCAAAAGTGTCTAAAAATAGAGCCCTCTCTTTCGATATGTGGGCATTTTTAGGAATACAAATTATAGAGGCGCCAAGATTCAAATGCTCACAGGTATTCTGATCGTCTCAGATTGGCATTAGCCAGAAATAGAAAAACGCCGCTTAGATGTGGGGTTTAGAATCAGAAGTGATCAGAAGACGTGACGATGGGCAGGTGAAAACAGGGTTTCGCTTATGGAGGCTTTCGCTTATAACCATGGCGGCGAGGGAACTGGAAATAAAGAGAGGATGTATGTAATTTGTTGTTTGGAGCCCCAACAAATGCGCAAATAATCACCAGGTACCGACCTTCTGATAAGAAAAGTGATAAGGAATAACGGGAAGAGGTACACAACGTTAATGGGTACCGCTATCAGTGTGGTTGTAGAGACCTGCATTTCTGGGATTAATGAATGAATGTAGTGCTAATAGAAAGACGTTAAATAAAGACGTTAAATAAGGGACCAAGGACTTTTAGGCATTGTCTTGGTATTGTGTTTAAATCAAAAAATCAGAGTCAGTGATCACAACATTTGTGTTTTTTTTTCTGTATATACAATGAATGTCTCTAAAAATAGATACCCGAAATGTACAAAAACAAAATTATCCTCTCTTTGTTTTTCTATTACATGGTCATCATCCCTCCATTCTGTTACCCATCATCACGCTCTTCTAACTTTTTACTCAACTCGAATTAAAAAAAATCGATAACATGACAGTTAACAATAATTATTGCTATGTAAGTTTTTTTAGTTGATTATCGATTTTTCTTGCTGTTCAACCATCCACTTCCGATTGTCATAAGGCTCTCTCTCTCTCAGTCACAGCACAATACGTTTCCGGGGGGATTGCAATCCAAATACACAAACTCTCTTTCTCTCCCCGTGTCTTCTTGTTTGTCTATTGACACAACTATTTTTCTTTTCGGGCCCTCCTTTTTCTTCTTTTCCATCATCGAGTTCCATACAATATCATACCATAATGGCACACCGGGGTCTTGAAACACTTGCAAAAACACTTTAAAAAATAAACTGGGCCTATGAAGGGAGACGAGGGATTTGAGTCTTACTACCTGCAAGAATAAAAATGTTCCAGAAGATTCTGGAAGTGTGGAGTTTTCTGAGTACATTGAACGGAATCAGACCTTCATTTTTATAGTTGACAACTTTTTTGAAGAATTGAGCCCTGAAGAGCTTGCAAGCGAGCCCATCTTCTAGGTTCAAATCGGGCGCCTTGGAGAGTTTGGATCTAATACTTACAATTAGCTCTTAAGAAAATCAATCACCTGAAAACTGAGAACTGATCGTGAGAAAAATATTAATTTGATTCTAATTTTGCCAGCCCCGACCTCGTTACATGATGTGATTAGACGGAAGTCCTTAAAGTAGAAATATATAATCGATTTGAATTAAAAGGTGGAAGAGTCAGCAGCAGATTCATTCTATTTCTCTATCTATGTCATCATGTGCTTCTTCTCCACCCGCCACGCCTTCTATCCAGAGAGCGTAGTCATCACCCCCATTTCCCAGCTCTAATCCCCCTTCGTCCTCCCAACCTCACACATGACATCGCGTCGTTTCTCCCGTTGCTCATCTGAAGTTTCGTCTTCTGAAGACCTAAACTCGTGTACCACATCGTGTTCATCTGAAGACGATGATGATGTGGATTCATCGGACGACCTCACAACACCATCTACATCTTCGGATGGCAGTTGTGAGAGTTATGATGATGAGGAGGACGAGGTTGTGGAGGAGCACGCGTTGACACCACAGCCAAATGTCAGCCAGGCTTTGTTAAAGCTGAGCAATTTGGACTTGAATTCGAGTTGGCCGAATTTAGAAGTTAGGGTTTGTTCAGTTTTCCCCAGTCTTTCTCAGGGTTTGGTATTAGGCTTCTTAGGATTTGAGCCTCAGATTTGACAAAAGCCTGAGCCTATCTATCTTAGGCTCATCTAGTTGAGCTTATTCGATTTTCAGCTAAGCTCAGTGATATTACAATGTTTTAAGATTTTCAGAAATTCTCCAAACAGCATCCCTAGGAAACTACAGTTTATTTTTGAAATTTCAAGTTTCCCGCCAGATCAAAACTTCCTCAAATTTTCAGAACACGGCGTGTCTCGACGACTTCGATCGGATAAAAACGCTGGGAACCGGCTCGTTTGGTCGTGTGATGCTTGTCAAACATAAGCAGTCGGGCAACTATTATGCCATGAAAATTCTCGACAAACAAAAGGTAATTGGTTGGGGGTTACTGTAGTTTTTTTGAATTCAAAAAACTTGAAATTTCGAGCCGTCTGAAAAGAACCTTAAGCTTTTTCGACTTTTCTGAAAGTTTCAGAATATACGAAACAGAATAAGAGTTTCATTTTTGGAGTTAACAGAATTTTTCAAAAACAAGTCCTACGAAAATATGCCACGTGGAAGTGCGCAGACAATTGGTGCCAGATTTCGACCTAGAATCTCTTCAGGGCTCAATTTTTCAAAAACATTGTCAACTACAAAAATGAAGCTCTAGTTCTGTTATGTGTGCTCTGAAAATGTTGAACTTTCAGAATCTTCCGGAACACTCTTATTCTTTCAGGTAGTAAAACTTAAACAAGTGGAGCACACGCTGAACGAGAAGCGCATCCTTCAAGCCATCGATTTTCCATTCTTGGTCAACATGACATTCTCGTTCAAGGTATGTTTTAGTGTTTAGTGTGTGGGTGTATCCATAATAGGACATAATTAAAGATTATTCCTAGAATGTGTGTACGTGCCGCAGGTGATAAAAGAGTGATAAACAAGTTTTTATAAATAAACGTGATTAGGAAGGAAAAGCGGGAAAAGTAGCTGGAAAAAATGTTGCAAAAGTTTTTTGGACATTAAAGATTAGAAATGGGAAGTGAGGGTGAAGTTGGAAATTTGGTCCAAGTCTTGCTCAAGACTTGCCCAATAATCCAGCAAACATTTGAGCATAAGTTGGGATATAACTCGCTTCATTTTCAATCTAGAATTTCAATTTTTTAATGCATTTGAATAAAAAATACAAGACCTAACTTTTACTAGTTAAACATTTTCCTGAAAAATGAATATCTGACAAGATATACCATGTTGAAACTGGCGCGCCGACTGATCGTACGCCTTGTCACAGTTTCAAGTGACATGTCTCGAGTTCTAATTGTTTCAATGATCTGATAATGTTTGAGCATATCAAACAAGCCTAGTGCTTCATTTTTGTAATTGACAATTTCCCGGAAAAAATAGTTCCTGAAAATTTACGCCACGTGGAAGTGCGCAGACTCTCGGCTCCAGATTTTGACCTAGTAGAAGCGCGAGCTTCCACCTGGCATATCTCCTTAGTGTTTATTTTTTCAGGAAAAGATTTCACAGCAAAAATAAAGCTCAATTTTTGTTTAATAAGTTCTGAAACTTTCAAGTGAATAGAACAATTCCTGGAAAAGTTACATAGCTTCAAAGTCGACTAGAGTTAGATTAAGCCTATTTTTTAAAAACAACAATCCATTGTTTTCCAGGACAACTCAAATCTGTACATGGTATTGGAATTCATCTCGGGAGGAGAAATGTTCTCCCATCTTCGCCGAATCGGACGCTTCTCGGAACCTCATTCTCGCTTCTACGCTGCTCAAATCGTGTTGGCATTCGAGTACTTGCACTCGTTGGATCTCATCTATCGTGATTTGAAGCCAGAGAATTTGCTCATCGACTCGACTGGATATTTGAAGGTATTTATATATTTATATATGATAGGATTAGTAGGGGAGAATAAGATTGAAAATGGATTAGAGAGACGGCGATCAGATGTTGTGTCTCTCTTGACATATTCATCCATTATATTACGTCAACTTTTCAGATCACCGACTTTGGATTCGCGAAACGCGTCAAGGGGCGAACGTGGACGTTGTGCGGAACTCCAGAATACTTGGCACCGGAGATTATCCTTTCCAAAGGATACAACAAGGCTGTTGATTGGTGGGCACTTGGCGTGTTGATCTACGAAATGGCTGCCGGATACCCACCATTCTTCGCCGATCAACCAATTCAGATCATGAGAAAATCGTGTCAGGAAAGGTGAGAGGGAAATTTAGGAAAAATGGAAAACTAAGAAAATGGGGGTTTGTTGAATTTGTTAAGTCAAAACCCTTTGTGGGCGAGAGGTAGGGATCAGCGACGCAGGCGGAAGAGACTGTCTTACACGTGGCATAACTTACTGTACACTAATTTTATCAAAAAGTGTTCAACTACAAAAATGAAGCACCATTTTTTAATGATAAACTCTAAAATCTTCCAACAAATGCAACAAATTCCAATTATTTTTGTAGAGCTTTAAACTTTTAATAACTTCTACTACTCAAAATGTTTCAAATTCTACTTCAACTTGAAATATCTTGGCTCCCAGTAAAGTTATCAAAGATGGTCAATTGCTAAAATGTGTAAAATTTATTTTCCTACATTTTATCAATTGACTACTTTCTGATATCTGGTTCGAAAACCAAGATAATCAGCGACGATCCTTCCCCTCAAGAATTCATTCAAATTCCAACTTTTTTCCAGGTCAAATTCCCATCTCACTTCTCAAACGAGCTCAAAGACTTGCTCAAGAACCTGCTCCAAGTGGATTTGACGAAACGGTACGGAAATCTAAAGAACGGAGTGGCCGACATCAAAAATCACAAATGGTTCGGATCTACCGACTGGATTGCCATCTATCAGCGAAAGGTTAGTGATATGCAATTGCTGGATCTTTTTTTGTGCATGTCTGTTTGTCTGTCTGTCCGCATGCCCTCTATCTATCTCTCTATCGTTGTGTTCATCTATATCTATCCAATATTCGAGTGTGCTGTGTGTGGATTTCTCTATAGTTGTTGTGGTTGTTATTTGATTTGTAGATCAAACCGCCCTCATTCTCCAACGGAGAACCCAAGGGACGGCTATTCGAAGCGCTGTATGCACGTGTCGATGGTCCAGCTGACACTCGACACTTTGTGGAAGAAGTTCAGGAACCAACGCAATTCGTGATCGCATCGACGTGTCAGCTGCCGGAGCTGTTTGAGGATTTCTAGATATGCATGCGAATTCCTTCTACTTCTTCTTCATCTAATTTTCACTCCAAAATTTCAACGTATTCAAATATCTTGGTTTGGTTTTTTTTCTTTCTTTCTTTAGATATAACTTTATATAGCTAGAGTTAACTGTTGCGGCAAATGAGCCCCGCTGTGTCCTCAACTATCTCAGTACCTGATAAAGTTATCAAACAAGTCTTAACTAGTAAAACATGTTAAATTTAATTTTACACATTTTGCTAGTTTTCCTCTTTTTGATAACTTTTACAGGAAATGAGATAATTTGGGTTAAATTTAGGGTGTCATTTCCAAGTTTAGTCATCAGGAAAAACTAGTTCTGACTGCTTAAAGTTAGAAAACCATTTTAGGCAAGATTTTTAGAAAACCTTGATAGTCTTGATTTCTTTGATTGCTATCAAAGTTTTGTAAACTAGTAAAATGTGTGAAATTAAGTTTTACACATCTTATCAGTTATCACTTTTTGATAGCTCTCACAGAAACTGAGATAAGTTAGGGAAAGCAAGTGATTGATGGTTTGCAAGTGCGCTTTGTTGTGAAATAGATTTTTGTTTCATTTTTTGCATGATAGGCCGCCCGTAGACTTCGAATTAACAAGTGCTAAAAGTTAACAAATGCACGCACTTTGTATATTTTGAAAATCTGTGTTATCATCTCTCTATCAATAGTTTATTTAGTTATCACATCAAAAAATCCACGTGGCAAATTTTCCATATTTCTTCTAGCCCATCTTTCTGAGCATCTTCATGAGCACAAATTTCGTTTTGATCTATTTTTCTTACTCAAAGAAATCTAATTTTTTATAGGAAATATTATTAATCAAAAGTAGTGCACTATATACATTTTTGGATATGGTGAGTTTCTGAAAAAAAGATTCCGGAAAAAAATTAGGGTTGATTGCCACGTGGATTTTTTGTTTATCTGTAGACAGAATTCAAATTAAATTTTCAAAACTCAGATTTTCAAAATTCAGTAAAAAGTTTTTTTTTAAAAAATTTCAAATACCGCGGTATTCCGTAAAGGTGTACCGCAAAAGCTGTAAAAGAAGGGCCCCAATTTTCAACTTTGACCCAATTTATCTCGGTTCCTAATTAAGATATAAATTATTTATCAACTGATGAATTTTTTATCATAACACCTATACATTTTTGTTAGTTGACACATTTTTGATATCTCTTATAGGAGCTGATATAATTGAGCTCAAACTTGACAGAGAGTTTTACGGTAAATTTGTGTGCAAACGCGTCCCATAGTACAAAAAACCAACAGAGCGCATTTGCATCACTTAAAAATGATAAATTAAATTCAGATTAACTAATTAAGTGGCTATAATTCAAAAAATTCATAATTCCAGATCGAAGCTCCATTCCTTCCAAAATGCCGTGGTCCAGGTGACGCCTCGAATTTCGATGACTACGAAGAAGAGCCATTGCGCATCTCGGGCACCGAGAAATGCTCCAAGGAGTTTGCCGAATTCTAAATTTTCCAAAAAACAAAATCTAAAAATTGTTCACCATTTTTTGTAGTTTGCATATTCACTCCCTCTCCTGTCTCACCCCGTTTTGCCTCCGGTTTTTCTAAGCTCCGCCCACTTTTTCCCCATTTCCCCCCGAATTCAAAAAAGTCCCCCAAATAAGAAACTCAAGCCAAAAATATTTGGAATTTCTTAAAACAAATGCTTTACCCTATTTTTAAAATCTATATCTATATTTTCCTTTAAAAAAGTTCTTTAATTCTCTTGCCCCGCCTCCTCTCCCCCCTCAAGCTCCGCCCCTTTTTTTCTCTAATAAAATGTAAAAAATTAATATTCCCATCCCCCACTTCTTTTCTCTCCCTTCAATTCTCATTTTCTACCTTAATATCAAAATTGTTCTAGTCAACACACACCAACAAACTCCGCCCCTTCTAAAAATTTTCCTTTTCTAGTCCCGCCCCGACTTTTTAAAAAAAGTTGTCTGCAAAAAAACTCCCCCTCCCCCCTTATTAATTATATTTTGGCCCTAAACACACTACCCATATGTATTATATATTCCCTTGTCTTCTTCTCTCACTGAAAAATTTAATTTTTTTTTCCCACCCCCTTTATTTTGACTCCTTTCCTTTTTTTCCAGAAATTTCTATTTTTCTTCTCTCCCCTCTCTGTCTCCCTCCCTCTCTTTCGTCATAAAGTAGTTTTTTTTAAACTTTTTATTCTTACCAAACAATTATCTTTACTCCGAACTATCACCAATTCTGTGTTTGAGTGTGTCAGGTGTTCCCGTGTCGCCGACCATAGCGAAGTCAGTAATGGACCAGAATTTCCCAAATTTTCACAGAAAACCCGAAATAGCAGCGAGATGGTGCCCGTCTATTTTGGTTTTGATCATATCAAAAATGAGGTCATGAGATTAAAAAAAAACTTTTTTTTTGAGAGCATTTAGGCTTTTTCTGCTCTCCAATGTAGGTTGACAAGTTCACGAAAAAATCACACCGCCTGGCGGAATCTTCTGGTTTTTTGCGCGAAAAAACTTGAAAATGGGCTTGATCTACCAATGCAAAATGTGTTTTTTTCATTCTCTTTGTGATTATTTTCTCGATTTTTCCTGATGATTCAGCGGATAGTTGATCAGTTGACAACTTTTTGATATCGTTTACAGGAACTGATAGTAAGTCTTATATAAGGCATTTTTTTCGAAATCCAAAAAAAATTTTTTTTTTTGATTTTTTGTCATAGAAACGTTCCACATTCAATTTCAAGTTACTTCCCAAAATTTCAGGCCCAAATCTCTTATTTGAACAAAGTTATTAAGGATTTTTCTAAGCCTATACTTAAGCCAAAATTCGGTTTCAGGCTTTTGTCCATAACTTCGTATCGAGAAGAGATCTCGATCTGATATTTGAATCCGGTACCTAAAATTGAACGTCAAACGTTTTCATAACAAAAAATCTCAAAAAATTGACAAACATTTTTTTTGATCGAAAAAAAGCTAAGTCTTTGAATCCGGTACCTAAAATTGAACGTCAAACGTTTTCTTAACAAAAAATCTCAAAAAATTGACAAACATTTTTTTTGGTCGAAAAAAAGCTAAGTCTTACATAAGGCATTTTTTCGAAATCCAAAAAAAATTTTTTTTTGATTTTTTGTCATAGAAACGTTCCACATTTAATTTCAAGTTACGTCCCAAAATTTCAGGCCCAAATCTCTTATTTGAACAAAGTTATTAAGGATTTTTCTAAGCCTATACTTAAGCCAAAATTCGGTTTCAGGCTTTTGTCCATAACTTCGTATCGAGAAGAGATCTCGATCTGATATTTGAATCCGGTACCTAAAATTGAACGTCAAACGTTTTCTTAACAAAAAATCTCAAAAAATTGACAAACATTTTTTTTGATCGAAAAAAAGCTAAGTCTTACATAAGGCATTTTTTCGAAATCCAAAATTTTTTTT